ATGTGTGTGCAGGTATATTTCTGCATTCAATTAATCAAACTTTTACCAACTATCTGTTGTGTATAACATACGGGGTTTTGGGGTAAGGCCCTGTCCCTATCTTCAAGGAGCTCACAATCCAGTTGGTGGAGGGGCAATTTCTGTGCAAAAGTCAGTGTGATTTGTATGAATCTCAGGTCATGTTTTTGTCCCCAGGGTTATTATACATTCTGTGGGTCCTCGTGTGCAGGTTTAAGAAAATGTTAGGTACAGGGGCACCTGGGTGGCTCAGTCGGTTAAGCCTCTGTCTTCGGCTCAGGTCATGATCTGGTGGTCCATGAGTTCAAGCCCTGTGTCAGGCTCTGTGCTGACAGCTGGGAGCCTAGAGCCTGCTTCAGATTCTGTGTCTCCCTCTCTCTTTGCCCCTCCCCTACTCCCACTCTGTCTCTCTCTCTCTCTCTCTCTCTCTCAAAAGAAAATAAACATATATATTTTTTTTAATTTAAGAATATGTTAGGTACATGTCCTGGTCTGGGCATGGGTCTATATGGGACTATAACTGCATAGGGTCCTTTGTGGAGGAACATGTGTCCACGTGCCTCTCTATGCAGGTATCAGTGTGCCCATGTGTACACCTCCCCGTGGGTAGTTGTGTCTTCAGTGTCAGTGTGTGTGCATGTGTGACTCTGTACACGTCTTCAAGTGTGTCTATGCGTGTATTCATGAGCCGGTGTATGCACGTGTCCATGGGGGTGTATCATGCCACCTTGATCTGCCCAACATTTGGGTGTATATTTGGGCAGAAAAGGGCAGTCGGGGCGCCTGGGTGGCTCACTCGGTTAAGCGTCTGACTCTTGATCTCAGCTCAAGTCTTGATCTCAGGGTCGTGAGTTCAAGCCCTGCGCTGGGCTCCACTCTGGGCGTGAAGCCTACTTTAACAAAGAAAAAGGAAAGGCAGTCAGCTCCTGGATGTGCCCCGTATTCGGGCAGGGCCTGACCTGACCTCTGGTCTGCCCCCAGGGAGCCACGTGTGCCCAGCTGGGGCACTGCCCCAGCTGATGCCCCACAGGGGTCCCCCGTCTCAAGAGGGACTCTGGACCCTGCCCTGCCTCCTCATGGCGCATGAGCCAGAGCCTGAGACTGATGGACTGTTAGACCTCAGCTTCCTGACAGAAGAGGAGCAGGAGGCCATTGCCGACGTCCTGAAGCGAGATGCCCGCCTTCGCCAGTTGGAGGAGGGCCGGGTCAGGTGAGGCAGGGCAGGGGAGCCCAGGAGGAAGGGGCCCCAGCTCTGGGAGGCTCAGGTGCGCCAAATATCTGCGTAGTTCTTGTTTTTGCCCATTGGTTGCCTCCGCCCTTAGCCAGCTCAGCTCCTCACCCCTCCCAAGGTGGCTGCACGAGCTCTCTTACCAGCCTTCCTGCCTCCCAGCTTGCCCTCTCTGAGCCCCTGGTCATGCCGTGCCTGGAGCTCCCCGGATCTGTTCTTAATATCCCCTAGCAAAACCTCCTCTGTTTCCTCAGCATCTCATGTCAGGGCCAAGCTCCTAAGTGTGGTCTGCAAAGCCTCCCTGATTAGTCCCTGCCAGCCTCCCCGATCTCATCCTCCACCAGCAAGCCCCACCCCTGACACACATAAAGTGTCCACTACAGCTACCCAAGTGCTTAACAGTCCCCGAACACACCCCTCACTCCTATGCTGTCCCTTCTTCCTGGAAGAAAGAGCACAGTGGCAGAAGAGCATGGGACTTACAAGTAGCCTTTGGGGACAGACAGACACCTCTCAGCCATGTAACCTTGGGCAGCTTACCCGACCTCCCTGGCAACACTCTCCTCATCTGTAAAAGGGGCCTAAGGAGCACTACCTCATAGAATTAGGAGGAGGGATTATGCACAATAGTCATTTAATGAATGCTAATGATTCTCCTTCTCTGCCAGGAGAACTCCAATTTGTCCTTTAAGAAGCAATTCAAATGTCACCTCCAGTGGGAAGGCCTCCTAGATTCCCACAGGCAAAGCTGGCCCTTCTCATATCCATCATGGCACCTACCTCATTATAGTGTACTTATCTACTGTGGATGCAGTCTTCCCACCAACCTGAGCTCCTTGACCCAGAGTAGGGATCGAGTCTGATTTGTTGTGTCCCTGGGTCCGGGTCCAGGGCTTGGCACAGAGTGGGTGGCAGGAATGTTGGTTGGGTGACAGCCATCCCCTCCCTCATCCTCCAGCAAGCTCCGGGCCTCGCTGGCAGACCCCGGGCAGCTGAAGATCCTGACGGGAGACTGGTTCCAGGAAGCGCGCTCACAACGGCACCACCATGCCCACCTTGGCTCTGACCTTGTCCGAGCCTCTATCCGCAAAAAGAAGAGCTCCAGGGGTGAGAGGAGATCCCTAGGGTCGGGCTGGCTGCACACAGCCCAGGGCACTGGGTATACATGGACAGGAAGATAGGGCCCCTGGTACTGTGTGTCTTTGGGTGGGCACCACCCCTCCCAGGAGCAGGAGGTAAGTGAGCATCTTCAAAGGCCAGACTTCCTGAGACTGAGGGTTCACAGAACTTCTCACCCAGGCACAGGAGACCAGGCTCCAGGCAGCGATAGGGAGGCTGAGGCTGCGGCTGCTGAAGAAGAAACTGAAGAGGAGCTGGAGCCCAGGTGAGGAGGGGTGACAGGGAGGGGAGGGTGCCTACCAGTCCCCTGGGGCCTATCCCCTGACAGCCACCTCTCCCTTCTAGGCTCCCCACGGACGAGGCCCCCCAAGAGATGCTCAGCAAGGCTGAGGTGAGTAATGAGTCACTGAATGAGCCGATGAATGAATGGGATGTGAGAATCAGGAGATCCTGGTCTGGGCCGCTGTCATCCTCCTCTCTCCAGTGGAGATATGGACCTGGCCTCTAAGGGAATCTCAGAAGCCGGCTATTAGAGGTGGTGGGGGACGGAGCTGGGCGAGGTCCAGGACTCAGACACTACTGTGCCACCAGTGGGACCCTGGGAGTCAGGCAGGGCAGGCCCTGACATGTGAGGGGGTGTGAAGTACAGGCCCAACTGGTCCTGCAGCTGCTTGCCAGCCCTGCCTTGAGGGCTGTGCTGAATCTGTCTGGAGTAGCCAGCTGGAGCCTCTGACCTCTGACCCCACTGCGACCTTTGACCCCTTTGTCACTAGACCCCACTGTGACCTCTACTCCTTGCTTCTTTCAGGAACCTGATTCTCCCTCACCATATGACCCCCTAAAGACTTCAGAGCATGAGGAAGAGCCCCAGGCCCAGG